GCAAACATGCCAATGCAACAGCTTCTAAAGAATCACTCCAATGATGCCAATAATAAACTATATATAAATTCCAAATTTCATTATATCAATGTTTAGGAGTAGAACAGGAGACAAATGGGCTGATAATTTTATATTTGAAAAATTGTTTATCACTTACCATGCGATTCCAGTCCAGCTCCCTGAGCAAGGCCACTGTCATATGACTGAAAAGAAAATAAATTTAAGAAAATATTTAAGTTGATAAACAGAGTAATTTGCACCTAAACCTTTTACTACCTTAGAATTACAAATCTACTAATGTTTTGCAAGGTGGCACATCTGATTATGCAAATTATTTATGTTTCAATAACATTTAAGCCGATGATTAACTTTTATTGCCAGCTTGGGTATTGACTTCTTCAAAACTGTTTACTTGGTGGGAATGACTCTTCCAATGATTGGAATAGTTTGTGGGAGAACATAACATTTGCCCCAATTGCTGCTTATAGGTCAATACAATGACCCTTCTATCTGAGTCTTCTACCTCAATGGCCAAGTCTCCAGTGACTTAGCTCTCAGTTGTCCAAATCCATTCGTACTGCTGGTTGATATGTACGAGTACCATGTTTCTGAGTTCTGCTCAATCAGAAATTTAAAAGTTGAAGTGAAGTAGCAGACACTGGGCTGGAGTGTAGATAGATGCATATGTGCTTTATCTCCAGGCAAGTGAGTCGTTAAAATAAGCACAATTATACAACTTGAAAACAGATTAATTTATAAGCTAAACTTTAAAGCATGATCATGTATTTTTTTCATAAGATTAGTTTTATAGTAGTATACTAGCCAAAATGAAGGAACGGCTTTGAAAAGTTCTTATTTATTTGGTAGAATTCTGCCCATTTAAAAGTTAGATCTCTTCCCGAGTTCAATTCCTTTATGAATTATGGTACTTTGCCATTGTGCTTAGGAGCATATTCTGCAAATCTGACTATTTTCACATGAACATTGGCCCTTTTGCTCGCCCATGGTATGATCATCAGACAAAGCAAACAGAGAAAGGACAAGGCATTTGAACTCTTAAAATGGAAGACCACTTTAGGATTACTTGTATCTTCAGCTGTTCTGTAGGTTTCTCAGTACTACACTGGAACATCAGTTTAAACGATCTGTTCGAATCCATGGGCTTGGGCTTGAATCGACAACCTCAACCACCTGTGGCTTCATTCTAACAGGTAACAAGTAGAACCTCGAATTATTCCAATTCAGTGCTTTTAAACTCTTACTTGCAAAGACTCATTGAATATCCAAGAACGTACCATATTTGCAAAGTAGAATACCAACATAAACAATTTAAATTCTGTACTCTTGCATCCTGTTGCAAATTTGATACGCAACTGCTTTTCAAAGGACATTTAAAAAAAAAACCATACAAACAAAAATGTCAGAATTGTGGTGGTCTAGAGACCAGGTTCACAGTTCAGAAACAAGAGACTGTACCTCTTCTTCTCAATCTCCAACTATACTGCGACTTCACAAAAAAAAAAATAAAATGGCTGGCCCGCGGACGGTAACCAGAGGACCTCCTGCAGAGAGGTCCTGGAACTGAGGTGACTGACTTCAAACAACCTCATCCATCTTCCAACACACCAGGAATGATTCCAACTAGCAGGGAGTTTTACCCCAATTCCGGTTTTCCGAGGGGTCCCTGATGCTACACTTCGTCAAATGCGGCCTTGATGTCTTTATCTGTCTGGCCTACATTTGATTTCAGACCCAATCAATATGTTTGTCTCTTTACTGCCCTTTGAAGTGACCTAACAAGTCATTCAATTGTACAAACTGCTAGAAAGATAAAAAGGGAATGAAAATGGACAGACCACCTGGCATCAACCCAGACACCAGAAACGACAAAGGCAAAAGCAGCCCTGATGACCTTACAAAGTCCTCCTTACTAAAATCTAGGGGGCAGTGCCAAAATTGGGAGAGTCACTCTCACCTCACTTCTGGAATTCAGTTCTTTTGTCCATATTTGAACAAAGGCTGAAATGAATTTATGAATTGAATGGCCCTAGCAGAACCCAAACTGAGCAGTGAGCAGTTATTGCCGAGTAGATGCTGTCCAACAGCATTGTTGGTGACACCTTCCATCATTTTACTGATGATTGAGAGTAGACTGATGGGGCAATAACTGGCCAGAATGGATTTGTCCTTTTTTTAGTATTAAGGACATACGTGGGACAATTTTCCACATTGTCGGGTAGGTACCAGTGTTGTAGCTGAATTGGAACAAGTTCGATAGAAATGCGACAAGTCTTCAGGACTATTGCTAGAATGTTGTCAGGACCCTTAGTCTTTGCAACATTCAATTCTACCAATGTACCTTTGGTACAGGTCAATGTTGAGGACATCTAGGCTAATCCCCTCTCAATTGCATACCACAATGCCACCATCTCTACTGGGCCTGTCCTGATAAGAGGACAAGGCATATCCACGGAAGGTGACGGGGGAGTCTGGGTGATAGGCATACTCCCAGAACCATAGCTTACAAAGTCAGGCTGTTGCTTGACTAGTCTGAGACAACTCTCCCAATTTTAGCACTGGTCTTTAGGTATTAGTAAGGACGGCTTTGTAGGGTTAACAGGGCTTTTTCTGCCATTATTGTTTCTGCGGTCTAGGTCAATGCCAGGTGGTCCATCCGTTTTAATTCCTTTTTTCCTTTCAAGTGGTTTACACAACAGAATAGCTTGTCAGATCACTTCAGAGAGTAGATGAGTCAACTGTATTGTTGTGGGTCTGGAGTCACATGTCAGCCAGATCAGGTAAGTACAGCAGTTTCCTTCCCTAAAGAACCTGGAAATATATTACCATTCCTTTTATCACGTGAATCAAGATCCTGGAACTTCCTACCTACCACCATGGGAATATCTTCACGAATGAACAGCAGCAAGAAAATCGGAAGGTAAACAGTACTGTAGCTTTTAACGCCTCCAAGAACAAAAATCTCCCTTCAATCCTGGTTCCCCTGCCTAAGGAAAGATATACTTACCATAGACGGTATACAGAGAAGGTTCATCAAATTCCTGGGACAACTGAACTATCCAAGAGGAGAGATGGAGGAAACCGGGCCTGCATTCTTGGAAGTAATGAAGAATGGAGGTGATCTCATAGAAATCTAAAGGGAGGAACAGAATCAAAGCAGAAATGATGTTTCCCCTGGTTGTGGGGTCTAGAAACTGGGGACATAATCTCAGATGAGCATCTCGCTCAGAGGGTGGTGAATGTTTGGAACTCCCATCTCGAGAGTTAGAGTTAGAGATTGATCGATTCCTAGCTATTAAGGACATCAAGTTACATTAGAATAGTGTGGGAATATGGTGTTCATGTGGATTGTCAGCCATCTAAATTGGGGGAGCAGGCTCAGTGGCCAAATGGCCTATTTATGTTCATAGCCCTTAAGGCAATTTGCCACCATTTCTCAAGTGCAATTAGAAATCAGCAGTAAAACGTTGGCCTTTCCAGCAACACCTGTATCCTGTGAATGAATTAAAAAACTGTCAATCTGCCCTCGAATGCCAAAAAATTTGCTGTACTTAGATTAAGCGTTAACCTCACCCCAGCAGGATATGGACATTATATCATGGTATAAAGATCCTGTTAATGGGTGACTAATGGTTTGATATGCTACTCAACAAGAGGCTCAGAAAACAATAATATAAATTGTGAGGCCATATGCCTACAAATGGCAAACTGCACCTGAAAACCTTTACTCTTTTTCTCCTTTATCACAGTTTGTGAACCTAGTCTTTTCTTTGTCTATATCAAATTTTGCTCCAACTTATCTTACTTCCTCATCTCACTTTTCTTTGTGGACTCTCAAATTTAATTGGTTGAAGTACAGACTGATCTCAATCAAGAATATTGGTGCTCCATTGACCTCATTCACTTCCAACAATGTGCCGTGAAAAAAAATCCAAGTCAGGAAACACACACCATAAGATTCCCTACTCCAGTAAATTCCGGGTGCTATCAAAGTCCACAAAGTAATGAAAATTATTTTTTGCAGAAACCTGATCTACTTCATGTATTTTTAGAAAAGCGCAGAGAAACAAATTTTTGCAACTGAATTCACTGGTCACTCAATAACTTTTCAAATAAGTGATATTTGATGCGAACAGAACAGTCAGATTTGATTGTATCTGTACGATTAGGCTGTCAGACAGGACCAGCATAGTTATTTTAACCATACTCTAGTTTCGTGAGTGGGTAAAACATGCATGTGGCAATTCCCAGTCAATTTAACAGATATTATCTATTGTGTGGAGAAGGCTTGGGGCCATTTGTGGAGCTTTACTGTAAAATTGGTATTTGCCTTAAAAAGATGGAAGAGAGATGAATAATGTATTTGGATATATTTCATTATTAAAGCAGAAGAGAACTGGGACATGTGGTGCATATTTAATCTACAATATATACTGGCTGCTTTGGCTGACTTGAGAACAAGTCCATTTGTTAATTAGTACCTTCAGCACTTGCTTACTCAAGTACTTCATTATTTATGATTGACTGAGCTAGATCTTGTATATGGAGTTTCTCTCTAGTTCCTTGGAAATAAAATACTATGACTGAATTCTTAAAAATCAAAGCAGAAGGAGCTCCTTTAAATTCATTATGGTGAATTTTAAAAGAACTCAAACAGCAATGAAAACAGCAGCCGAGTTACTGAAAAAGGCCCTTGCATTCAACCTCAAGCTTTTTTCAATTGGACCACCCTCCATCCCAAAATAGTCAATTCATTTACTTGCTTACACCTTTAATACAGTCAGTCTTGATATATTTTGATGAAATCAATGTTCTGCTGCAACAAAAGTGTACAAAATAGAAATTTCATCCTTTGAGATAACTGCAAAGTGCTAGGCCCCAGTTTTCATTAATCATCCAATGTAATGTATGTTTACTAAGGTAACTGAGGCCACAAAATAGTATAAATTACCCTTTGAGGGGGTCATAAAACCTTTTGTACAGTGAAATACAAATAAAAATAGATTCACCAGGTCATCCACAAGGTATTCTTCCGTCCTGGCATTTCCTGCCTACTTCTACCTTTCAATGGTAGTCTGTTTGCAAAGCAAGAAATTTGGGAAATGGTTTTTGAACTATCCTGTGGGGGAAACCCAGCCAAATCCCTTATGCCTAAAGTACTCCTCTTTGTTTTTGTAAGCTAGAT